TAGAAAAAATATGGTTTATACTGTATCTCAATCTCCCACTTACAAAATGGAAAACATCTCACTTATATAGACTGAAAACACATGTATTCTAATTCCTCTGTAGCTAAGAGAGACAGGCCATTGATAAACTTTAAAATATATAAAACAAATAACACACTTTAAATAACTGAAGTACTATAACACACAACTTGTACCAAAACAGGACAAAACGAAAAAGCTCAAGTAAATTTGATCAAAATGCCAACAGAAAATCACAAAGAGAAGTAAATGCAAGCTATTATAAAAGAATGTCCTGCTAAAAGACTTTCCTCTTTAAAAACAAATAACTGCAAAAACATTATGCAATTGAAACTTAAATGGATCTAACAAAACTGAAAATGACTCCAAATTGTTCACAAAAAGTAAATAAAAATAGCTACAACTTATCTAAAGGGGTTTTAGCATGTTCGTTATTGCCTTGGATATTTGAACCATTATATAATTATGTCTGTTTTTGTTTGTTAGCATAAGAACTTGCTGTATAAAACTATTTATACTTTATTTTGTTAAATTAAATTTATTAAACTATAAGGAATGGCATTACTACACTCCTTACTATTGACTTTGTATTTTTTCCCTCTTTATACTGCTATGTGATACATTTGTATATCTTGGTCATTTTTTTTAGTCTCAAACAGTTCTAGAGATCAAGGTAAAAAAGTAACTGATAATATTAGAAAGAGCTATATTGCTTTAGCTACTTGAATTTACTCTGGTAGCTTCAGTAAGAGTTTTTTGCTTTTTTTTTTATCATTTCACTCCAAGCAAAGTAATCAAGCAACTAAGATGCAAAGATTATATAGTGCTCATAATGAAATTCACAAGTAGTGAAGACCTCTGTTTAAATTGCTTAGAATTATTGGATGAATCTATTCACTTCTGATTCCAAAATTTGTGGCTTGCCAGTGTAGGAAGTAAAATATACACTTCCTTTCTCAGGAAATATGCATTTTATTTACTTCTTTTTTTCACATCTTTATGAGTCTTGTTGAATATTTTCTCTTTTACTTGTCTGTTAGCCACAGAAATATGCCTCCATCTTTATAATTAGAAACCACAATGTCTTTGACATTGAATCGCTGGGGTGCTTTGAAACCAATACATCTCTTTTGCTTGTTATGGTACTAATAACTTTTGTTCTGAGACATGATTTTGTCATTTTTTTTAAATTAAATTCAGGATTAATATAAACAAGTGAGCTTGTGAATTACAGAGCATAAAAATAAATGTGCTTTGGTGGCTTCATATTAACCTTCAAGCAACGTGTACAATAGTGTTGATTTAAACTTTCCCTTACATTAACCATAGTTTGTTTTTATTCAAAGAGAGCATATTCACTACTGGAAGTTATACCCCTACATTCTTCTACAATTTTTAAGAGACACAATATAGCAGTGACCATTTTCTTGCAATGTTGGAACTGGATCACCACTATTCTAATCTCTTCACCATTTCCTTTTAAATTAAGACACTTTTCCAAGATTTTTTCATTTCTATTTAACTGAATAGCTCATAAAAGCAGTCTTGTTTATGCTTTAATTTCTAATTTGAAATCTATGATAACTAATATTAATCAAGAATGCTTTCATGGCAAATACCATAGTTATTTCTTTCCATTTCTATTACCATTATAGCAATGAGAAGACATCATTCACCATTTTGCATTTTCCCAATTTTTGCCAGGCACTGATGTATTCTAAAAATATATTTTTGTTATCTAGTAATCAGAACTTCAAAGATCTTATGATTTTATAGTAAATGCAACCATAAGTATTTGCCAAACTGAACCAGGTTATGTGGAATTTTCATGTTTTTATTTTTTTCATATTTCAGGAATTCCAATCTTTTATATCAATCCATTGATGTACTTGTTGCTTAACATGTAGTTCCTTATTTATTTTATGAGTTTTAACTTTAATGTCACACAACAGAATTGGTCCAAATTGTAGTTTTTAATTCTTTTGTTGCCATTCTTTTTGGATCAATGCTTAAAAGTTCAAGATCCTGTTAAACTGAAATTCCAACAACAAACTACCCCAAAACTGCAATTCCTATAGGGAAAAAAAGACTAAAATAAGAGGGAGTAAAAAGAAATGCTAATTGGTAGTTTTACTCTGTTTATATATTGAGGGATAGAATTAAAACTTCAAAATATTTATTTTTAATGGTCATGAAAATCATTTATAACTATTCTTTGTTATACACTTTCACATATGGTGTTTTTTTTTTCTCCCATATTTTGGAGCCACCCTCTGAATTTAATAATTAGTAAGTTTCATAGCTCTTTTATTTAATTAACTCCTACTATGCTAGATTGCTGAAAGTAACCTATTAGTACATGGTCTTCAATTTTTTAGAGAGGGGTATTCTTAAAATTTAAAATCCACCAACCATTATCATTAACAGGATGGTTGATTTAGGCAAAAAGAGCTAAAATTTTTAAAAAAACAAAACATTATGCATTAATGGATTAATTTCATTATTATTATTGAATATATGATAAAAGCTATCAGTAAGAGAAAGTCCCTTTTGCTCAAAGTGAGATAGGCATGCAAACTTCAATGTTTAGGTAATTCTTTGAAATCCATAGGGTGGCCCCAAACTTTAGGCCTATAATGGGCATTGAAGTCAACATCCAGAGGGTGACAGTTTATTTCATACTAAATGCAATCATCAGGCCATTTAAATACACACTATCACTAATACTGAGCATTTTAACCCATAAATATCGAATACCTTAAAACTATATTTTATCTATGTCCCAAAAATAAATCTCTTGTATACACAAAAGAAAAATATAATGAGCTTCATTGCAGTGCCTTGTCAGTCATCTTCAATGAAACCTTTTAATAAAAGAGGGACTGCAGCCCAAATACATACACACACACACACACACACACACACACACACATTCAGTAAATCTATTTTTATTTCTCAAATAAATCCATTTTAAAACTGTAAATAAATGTCTTTTAAGACATTTTATTTTTTTCTGAATTATATTTTAGAGATTTTGATCTTTTGGGATTGTGGTTTTCAGACTTTCACCTTTTAGGATTTTGGATCTTTCACAATTATGACCTAAACCGCTACTGAATATTTCATTTTTGGGCTTTGTTTTAAAATGGAATGGCATTCTTTGTAGAGTTTATAATATGCAATGTTAATTCTTGGTACCTGTTTAATCTTTACCTCCCTGATAAAAATGTTCACCTCAGAAAACGATCAGAGGAGACTTGGAAACAATTTTTCATACTGATTATCTTTTCAGCCCATCAACATGAGTCAGGTGAACATTATGTTGGTAGTCAGAGTATATGCTTAGATATTCTCCTAGCTTTCTTGGATCTACTTAAAAAGACTGGTCCACTCGTAAAAAAAATGGGCAAAAATTGGCATTTAGGCCATGACACATGTCAAAATTGCAAATATTGATTAGTTATTGATTTAGTTCATAAGAGGTGTTTTTTTTTTTTTTTTTTTTTTTGCTAAATAAAAATTCCTGACTTTGACTAAGGAATCTCTAAAGAATGCTAATCTGCTGAAATTATTACCCCCCAAATTTTTCCCTATTTTTTATGAGTGGACCAGTCAGCCAGTTTTTAATCTCCATTTTTCTTTCTTGAAATAATTTATCAAATAAGTCTTATCTGAAAGCCTGCTTTTTTGTTCCTTTTTCAAACTGTTTTCCATCTGCTACAATTAATTTTATTCATTGATCTGTTAGGGATTTGCTGAAAAAGATTTTGTATAATACGTTGTTAGACCTTTTACACTACCAAAAAACATGGCTACAATCATATTGTATATCTATGGACAGCCTAACTACATCTTGTATTCTGTTATTTTTTTTTATCTTACTTTGTTGTTGCATTGTGACAAGTTAATTTCAAAATTTGTCCCAAACTGTGAAGTTGTATTTACTGAAAAGCTACCAGTTTGTTTATTTCACTTGGTATTTTTCTCAACTGTATCTCCAGTTTATCACTAGTTTTTCCTAGTAACACCAGAATTTACCTGGAAAGTTATAATCTACAAATATGTTTGTGTATATGTTTTTCTTAGTAAAAAAGAAATTTATTTATTTTTTTTTTTTTTTAGGTTTCTGTAGATTACATTATTTATAAATGTAAATTTAGAACAATGCAAAACATGCACAAAAGGTAAAAAATAAAATTAACATTTTTCTTTATTCATATGCTGAGAAAATGGTACTCGTGTGAAAAAGTAATTTTTTTTATTCATTTTGTATTCATTGAGCAAAAACTTACAATTTTTTTTTTCAAGACCTGAATTTACTTTTCTTAAAATTCTTTGGTTTCATTACCAGTATCTTGTCTTATTTAAACATCTTTTGACTACAATACATTACTGATGAAATGTAATGACATTTATTAAAAAATCAACTGTGATATGATTTAAAAAATGTTTCTCAAAGACATTTTAACTTCTTTTCTGTGCCATGCCATTAATAGGATGTGATTCTCCACAAATTCTCTTTTGTTTCTTTAAGTGACTTCTGACCCTTTATCATTCCTTTTTGTTCTTGTTCTGCCATTCATTCACTGAACTTTGGTTACTCCCTGTTCCCACCCCACTTCTCTTACTTTCAATATGTCCTGTGGGTGTTAAATTCTCCAGGCTCCCTTTCCTCATTATACAACTCAGAAATTTCAGTCTCTTTATTGTAGGTATTAGTTCCTATTTTCTTTAAAACTTCCTCATTGTTCTCATATTCAATCCATGGTATCCTCAACATCCTTCTGTAGAACCACATTTCTGTTGCTTCAAGTTTCTTCTTCATCTGTGTGGAGATTGTTCAGTATTCACGGTTATATTAGAAATTAGATATTACATAGCAATTTACTTTGTTTCTAAAAACATTTTCCTATCTCTTTTTACTTGCTGTTCCAATGCACCTTCAGTATTCTATGTCACATTTCCCAATTTTTAACTTCATGTTGAAACACAAGTTCCCATATGACCACTGAAGTTAAGCAACATTGAGCCTGGTCAGTACCTAGATGGGTGACTGCTTGGGAATACCAGGTGCTGTAAACTTGGATGTGTGGGTGGTGTAAAGGTTAATGGCTTGGAATTGTTAATCAGAGAGCTGAGTTCCAATTCCAGATATGTTTATTATATTCACTTACACACAAATACTGATGGGAAATGTATGAATTCACCTCTTCTCTCACCCCCATTTGTTTGGTCCTCCACCTCGTATGACATCTGGGCTCATGGCCATGTCACGTTGAAACATTGGTTCCCATATGATCACCAAAGTTAAGCAACATCAGAACTGGTTAATACCTAGATGGATGATTGCTTGAAAATACCAGGTGCTGTAAGCTTGGATGTACAAGTTGTGTAATGGATTACCTGCTCAAATGTTGATAAGCCATAAAATATAAATCAATTAATTACATGACATCTGAGAAGTGGTTCCATACAGATGACCCTTTTTGTTCTTCAAGGAGAATGTTTATACACTTACTAGCAGTAGAGCCCGGCGTTGCCCGGGGATATAACAGTAAGAGATAGATCAAGTATCCACCATCATAAAGATTGAAAAATAAAATTGACAAAGATTATTGTTTAAGGTTGACGGACACGCATGTCTTAATTAGTTTTTTTTTTTTAACGAATTGGTCAAATTCAAACAAAAACATTGTTTTCAATCGTTATGAGTCTCCCGATTGAATAGAATTTTATTATAAACAATTGTCTTGTAAATGGAATTTTTAAAGCATTCTGAATGTAAAAATAAAAAAAAAAAGTGTGCAAGACAATAAGAAACACTACATGCCAAAAAAAAAAGTGAAGTTTTGTTGAAATCGGTTGAAAATGTAGGTAGCCTTTCTGTAATCTTTTAGTTTTACAATTTATGATTTTTACTTATTGAATACAGTAATAAAATTGCATATTTTGCTTGTGGTGATTCATAATTAGAATTCTGATTTGAATATATTTTCCACTCGTTGTTTTTAATACAAAAATATTAACTTTATTTGGGTTTATTAATTATGATCTAACAAATCTTATTCATTTAGTAGCCTTTCTGTAATAATAATTTTTTTACAATTTATGATTTTTACTTATTGAATACAGTAAAAAAATTGGACACCATGTGTATTTAAAGTAGTTTCCGGTTATTTTTAGTTTAGTATGTTTAGATTTCATTATCTTTCCCTAAAGATAAAAGAATTTATCCGATGTTTGTATTCGTACAATCAGTAGAGATCGTTAGATTATTGTTTAAAGGTTGACAGACACGCATGTCTTAATTAGTTTTTTTTTTTTTTATTTAATTGGTCAAACTCAAACAAAACATTGTTTTCAATTGTTATGAGTCTCCCGATTGAATAGAATTTTATTATAAATAATTGTCTTGTAAATGGAATTTTTAAAGCATTCTGAATGTTAAAATAAAGAAAAAAGTGTGCAAGAAAATAAGAAACACTACCTGCCAAAAAAAAAAGTGAAGTTTTATCAGCTGAAAAATATAGGAAATCCGATCCCATATTTAAAGGAACCCACACACACAAACAACCCGATGTGAGTTGTCCCCTTCCATTTTCACGATGTCTCTTAATCGTGTTTTCAAATTGATTTTGTGCAAAACAATTATATTTTTTTTCCCATTTTGAAAGCTGTTAGAACCACCACAAGGTAATTTTATGTAGTCCTGTGAAGTTTTGTTGAAATCGGTTGAAAAATGTAGGAAATCCGATCCAATATATAAACGTTACAGACAGACACACACACAATCGGCGTTTTATAATAAGTAAGATGTACTGATGGGATAAATGCATTATTAATCTCAGTGGTGACTACAAGATAAATTAGCCTAGTAGTACTGGTAGCATATGCTCAATGTTTTATTTGTATAGTCATAAACATGTTGGATGAGTAAATATTTGTACCTTACTTTTCCGACATCTCTTGTAACCATTCCTGAGATGGCACAAATCAAGAAGACATGTATTTTATTTAACAAAAGTGGCTTAATTACAAGAAACCAGACTTAGAAAAATAAAAGGAAAAACATATAAAAGTAAAAAATGTTTTATAACAACCTGCTCTTTTCTGCCTTTGTTTCAAGCACAGAGAAAAGCCATTAACACAGAACAACTGAAAAATAAAATAGCTACAGAAAAAAAAAATCAGTGGGTAATTTAATCTGTATATTCCTACTTCTTTTAATTAAGTCGTTTACTCTGAAGCTAATTAGGTCTCTATTCAAATAATCCATGAATAAAATGTATGTTGAAATGACATCTTTGGAATTTTGAGATATGATATTTGACTTTAATTTTTAGATATTGCTTAATGAGATTTGGGCTTAAATTTTCTGTATTTTTTGATATATAAAATATCTTATATAATAAACTATTATATGTTGTATAAGTAATGCAGCAAGCACATTGAGAAACATAACTTTTTCACTATTGCTTGCTGATATTAACCTTTTTGTGACATCAGTCTTTATTATACAACTGCATTTTATGTATTCTCTCTTAGGTATATATTTTTTATATTAGCATATTTTTCATAACTTGCTGTTTCGTATAAGAAATAATTTATAACACAACAGTTCAGAAAAGTTGAATTGTTGTATAGTCTTATATCTGGTTGCTGCCTTATTTAAACATATAAAAAATAAATTTATTCAATCAAAACAATTTTTTTCCACCCTGATACATTTATTTGATTCAACCATCAGTTCCTTTTAGAGAATTTTTCATTGAAAGAGCTGGTAAATTTATTGAAGGCTTCTTTAATTTCATCCTATTTTTTCCTAGGTATATGAAAAATGTGTGTGATGATAAATATGAAGTGTATAATAAAGTCTCTATATTTAACGTTTTTGGTATGAAAGTGGAAATTATTGTGCAAGATGATACCCCTTCCATTTTAAGAAAATGGTTGCTGCCTGAATTTTGAATAAACTATTTCTAGGCGGTATACATATGCATATTAATTGACCATTTTGAAATTAGAAGAAAAACATGCTGTGTATCAAATCACTTCTACTTTACCAAATATTTCATAACTTTTCAAATTAATTGTCAAGTTTTTGTTGATGTTTCATCTATATGTGCTGTTAATTTAAGATTTTTGAATGTTTTTTTTTTCCAACATAGTTTTCAAATCTTTTTAATTTACTGTTGGTTTTGCTTAACCAATATTCTTCAAGGAACTCTTAATTTGAAAAATATTTTAAAGAAAATCTTATGGTTTATTTGCTATATAACATTGTTCCCAAAAGCAACTTCATTATTGTACAATTAAACTTGTACAAATGTAAAACATTTAAATTATGAGTTGTGAAATTTTCCATAATTAACTTTAAAAATCTGTCTATATCTCTGAGATTATGATTATGGTATTATGATTATTTACATTATACAGACTGTTATCCTCATCTTCATTACCATATTAAAAATGTTTCAGCTGTTGTATGCTCTGGCCATCTTCAGGTGATTGGAATTTCAAACTGAATCCTTTATTTCATCCATGAGGGTAGGTTGTTCTAGTTTCATGTGCCATGATGGTGGATGAAATAAAAGGTTCAGTTTAAAATTCCAATCACCTGAAGAAGGTTGGGGCATACAACAGCCCAAACGTTGTGAATATGATAATGAAGATGAGGATAACAGTCCAAATAATGTAAATAATTTTCATTCTCTCAATTTTTATAAATTTTTAAAGTTTTAATTGAATAATCAAGAAATATATAAAAAAAGGTCTCATTTAAAAATCTTTTTTAGTGGTGCAAAGTCAATCTTTAAAACAAAGTCTCTTTCATGTTAAACAATTTAATATTACCATTTTGACATTATTAGTAGTAGTAGTATTTAGTGCTGGCTTTAAAATTCCAAAGCAGACTATTTGATCTGATACATAGTAATTTGATTTATTTGTAAAGTTTGATGGAGATACAAATAGCAATTTTGTAAAGCAGTTGTTTTTAACTTTTGCACAAAGCAATTCTTTTAGAATTTATCTTTTTTAAATTAATGAATTATATATAATTAAATGCAGTATTTTATTTTCCAAGGATTAGTTTAATTTTTTTTAGTTTGAAATTATATAATTTTTGGATTTAATTTTTTGAACATTACAATTTCTAAAACAGAGTTGATTAGAAGATGATTATCTTGATATACTTGATGCACTCTGTGAGCCCTCAAATGTAATGCACTTTGTGGTCATTCAAATGCTAAATGCAGTATATTAAAATACCATACACTATTATTGTCAAAAGAAAATTTATTTGAACTACATAATAAACTGACCAATATTATCAAATGGCAAGGTACTTTTGGGGGATTCGTTGTCTCTTCAGTAATCTTTTTCATAAGAAACATCAGATACCCTCTTTCATCTGATAGTTTAATGTAAATAAATATTTATGGAAAACTCAAATATGGTAAACAAAATGGATTAGCTAAATCATCTTAGTGAATGGAAAATTTAATGACAATTCTCCAATCAACACAAATGTCATATATGACAATATTACACTGAAAAAAGCCTGTCTTTTATATTTGTCTGTTAAATAATTTAGAAATTGTATATATTTTTTGTTTGACAATCATTAGCAAAACTGTGCTTATGACACTCTTCAATAACAAAGATCAGTGAACTTGTGTTTAATTCTGTTTAAAAGTGAATATACTTGTTTTTCTCATGGAAGAATTTAGTTTCATTTTTGTATGATTTAAGTGCATTTATTGGTTGACTGTTTTAATAAATTTGAGAATTGTAGCCACTAATATAATAATAATAAAAATGTGTTAACTGAAAATGAACATTTTCTAGGAAAAAAGTAAAGATGTAAAGCTTTTTTTTTTTTTTTTTTTATAGTTTAAGCTTACAGATTAGGGCACCATTTGAGAACTTATATGTATCGATTTCTTTGTTTTTAGTAATAGAATTATTTTAGTTATGGTTCCTTATTTACCCACCATGTTTATCTTTTTCAGTTTTGCCATTTTGATAATTGTTTCAACAAATTTTTCTGAAGAAGTTTTAGATAAAAAAGGTCCCTT